CACACTAATCCAGGTTAACAGGAACGAAAGGAGGAAGAGTTTAATCATAACCGGAATTTGAGATATTATCTAAAAAGGGAACACAAGTTCTCTCTTTTTAAAACGTTAATAGCTAAGAAGAACCCTAATTTAATGTACATAAATGAATGTCCCAATATACTTAAAAGATGCTCTTCCTATTCCCACCACCTCGTTATCCTTATACCATTAACGTGCGCAAGCTAGGACTAAAGTTCATGTTCAATTCCTGTCCAAATTCCAAACTAAGTAGTAGGGTCTTAAGGTAATGAGGTTTTTATTATGGTCGATTATTACAGGTGATCTAATTATGTCCTTGTGCCTTATTTAAAGGCTAGGCTTTCAATGATTCCTAATACAGGATAGAAGCCTTTATTTCCAAATGCTTAACTGCTGACTGACAAAAACATCATTAAGATACCTGAGCCTCAGGGCACCTGCCGGGCTCAGTTGGTAGAGCAAGCCACTCTTGCTCTCCGAGTCTCCAGTTCAAGATTCAAGCCTAACTGTGGGCACAGAGCTTGCTTTAAAAAAAACAAAAACAACAAAAACCTACCTCTAGACTTTCAGCTACGCCAGCCAGCGGGAAAACCTTGTAAAGAAAACCGTGCCTCTTGAGCACTCTTTACTAAGTGATTACAGGTAAGCAGAAACTCAACAGGGTTCCAATTTTTTGGTAGAACTTTTTTTCCTTTTTTAAAGTAAATTATACACCCAACTTGGGCCTGAGATCTTGGGCCTCAGTACCCAGAGATGAAGAGTCGCATGCCCTATTGACTGTGCCAGCCAGGTACCCCAGTAAACCTGTTCTTGTTTAAAACTCATCATTTACCCAACACTTTCACTTTCAAGGCCATTAAACTTTTGACGCTCTAAAGCCAATTACGAGTTAACCTTACACATTTCTTAACCACGTTCCACGAACTTCTTTGTCATTTTCGGTCTCAAGCACATATGCAGACCTTTCTCTTAGAAAGTTCAAGGCATTAGGAAGTGTTAAAACAAATGTCTGCATCCCCCTCCCGCGCACTACCCTGTCATGCTATCTAAGGACCGGCTTTTGGAGGCCCACAACATATACTCTATCCTTCCCCAAATGTTTCGGCAAAACTTTTAAACCAGCTTTATAATCTGGGCATAAATTCGGCTAAACTCCCCTTGCCTATTTGCAGCCTTGTGCACAGCCGCCAGGCTCATCTACCACACGAGTAGAGACGAGCAGAACTGACGCCACACGCGAGGCAGAAACTTAGCCAGTCACCGGCGTCGGGGGGGGGGGGGGGGGGCGGAAATCGACGCTGGCTACGTGCCAAATGTGGACTTAACTTTTCCGCTATGGGAATTGGAATATTTAGTCCTTCTTCGTGACACGGTTCCCAAACACAAAGGAACGTTGTTTGAAATATTCGCTGCTATCCACGCTAGCCAGTCAGGTCTAGGGAGAAGCCCCGTTCACCTCACTCACCAAACAAGGCAGTAAAAGGTGGATTTGTGTGTGGCAACCGTGGCAAAGAGGACCGGAAGGAAACGCCAGCGTCTCCTTTTGCGCAAGCGCAGGCAGACCTCTCCTATTGGTCGTCTCGGCTGGAAATTGGTGTGCACATGCGCTCTGCTGTCCTGCCAGCTGGGTGTGATTGATGCGGCTGTGCGCGCCGGTGTTTATCCGCGGACTGGATAGCTGACCGCCAGAGCCACAAATGGTGGTGCCTACGCAGGTTTTTTTTACTTTCTGAAATCTTTTGTTTAAGCCGTTGACTCATTCATGCTTAAGTACCGAAAGTCTATCTGACTGGTAGGCTTGGTCAGTGTTCTCCCAACATTTCGGAGTTGGGGGAGGGACTGTGAAAAAGTGTAGATCACTCACGCCCGTCTTTGCTTTGCACCGCTTTATACGTTCGCAAAATACTTTACTTGACAACGCATACGACTCTTTTAATAGTATTTCTCAAGTATTTGTTTACAAAGGAAGCGAAGGAAAGGAGAAGTGGTCTAAGTCGTGCTGCTGAATCATTGTATATAATAGTTTAAAGACTGTCCAGAAATTAAAATCATTACAAGGAGATTTATTTTTGAATCTGGTATTTTTATCTTCATTTGGCTGGGCACAGAGTCGGAATATTGGGCTGCCTTGTTCAGGGCCGGACGCTTACCCAACCTACTTGGAGATTCAGAACCATGGACGCCAAGGAGGCAGGAGATGGTGAAGCAGAGCCGGGCCTTCCCTCAGCAGCCAATCGGAGCAAGCGAGTGTCTGAAAAACCAAACTATACTCTTAAATTTACTCTCGTGGGACATACGGAAGCTGTATCATCAGTTAAGTTTAGCCCTAATGGAGAATGGCTAGCAAGTTCTTCTGCTGATAAAGTAATTATAATTTGGGGAGCCTATGATGGGAAGTATGAGAAAACACTTTATGGTCACAGTCTGGAAATATCAGATGTTGCCTGGTCGTCAGATTCCAATTGGCTTGTTTCTGCCTCAGATGATAAAACGCTAAAGATTTGGGATGTGAGATCTGGAAAATGTTTGAAAACGCTAAAGGGGCATAGTAATTACGTTTTTTGCTGTAATTTCAATCCACCATCTAATCTCATCATTTCAGGATCTTTTGATGAGAGTGTGAAGATATGGGAGGTGAAAACAGGAAAGTGCCTCAAGACTTTGTCTGCTCATTCTGACCCAGTTTCTGCTGTTCATTTTAATTGTACTGGGTCCTTGATAGTATCAGGTAGCTATGATGGTATCTGTAGAATTTGGGATACTGCATCAGGTCAGTGTTTAAAAACACTTGCTGATGATGATAACCCTCCTGTCTCTTTTGTAAAATTTTCTCCAAATGGTAAATATATTCTAATTGCAACCTTGGACAACACTCTTAAACTGTGGGATTACAGCAGAGGCAGATGCCTGAAAACATACACTGGTCATAAAAATGAGAAATACTGCATTTTTGCCAATTTTTCAGTTACTGGTGGAAAGTGGATTGTGTCTGGTTCAGAAGATAATCTGGTTTACATCTGGAATCTTCAGACTAAAGAGATTGTACAGAAATTACAAGGTCATACAGATGTTGTAATTTCAGCAGCCTGTCACCCTACAGAGAACATCATTGCATCAGCAGCATTAGGAAATGACAAAACAATTAAACTGTGGATGAGTAATTACTAAACATTTAGAAATCAAGTAGTAGAGCCAAGTTGGCATAAAAAATATTTTTTAAAAGATGGTTTCCCTTAATTTTGGCATGGTTGTGTATTTCTTTTTAACATTGTCTTACAAGATTTCAGACCTATAACCTAAATTTGTAAAGCAAGACAGTTGGAAAAGCAAGTCTAGAACGTAGGGCTTCTGACTTTTAATTTTCAAGTCTGTTATTATCTCTTATGTCTGTTCCTGAACAGATTCCCATTCTGTTCTTTCCAGTGACTATTTTAGAGGATCAGTGTACTTGAGAAATATTTAGAAATAAGGTTCACAAGATAGGATGACTGATTAAATGTGGAGGGCAAGGGAGTTTGGAAGAACGAGTGTTTCCGATTTGGGAGATCAGATAGGTGAATAAAAGGAGAAGCCTGGGACAGTGGTGGACTGGAAATATATGACAGATGCTGCACACACACTAAGTGATAGCCTTTGTGATGGGACATGAAATGGTTCCATGGAATCAACTCTATAAATTGGGAAATATAAGTCATGGTTAGGTTTGTTCTGAGAGTCTAAGAATTTTAAGTTTTATCAAGATAAAAGCTAAAAATAAACCAAAACATTGTAAATGGCATTTTACTGAAGGACCTCTCACTACCTTGTTAGATTGTGCCCTCATGACTATCAGGCAAGCTAAATGTCTGAATGAGATGAGGCTATTCTCTTCCACTATGTGTCTGATCTACTAACTCCTACCCATGCTTCAAACTTGGTTCAGAAATTACCACTTTGTGGACCATCACTGCCTCCCTGACTCCAATCACAGCTGATGGCTGATTTAGGCTTTCTTGTTCCTTCCTATAGCTTCTGTTATATAGTTCAGAATATATCTTTTACCAATTTGTATTGTAATGGTTTCATGGGCCATGTTTCCATTAAATTATGAGCTCTGTCAAATATGTTTTTATTCATTTTTGTATTCTCAGTACTTATATATATATATATAAGGGACTAATGATGAATGACAGTGTATTATACCACCACCACCACCACTGCCACTACCACCACCTCTTTATTCATTCCTTGCCTGCTTTTGACACATTTTTGGAATTAAGTCCCCATACTATTTCTTTTCTTGATTAAAAGCATCTGACCATAGGTTCACATATTAATCTTAGGCAGACAGGGCTTATAGGAAATACAAAATGGAAAACAGTTTCTGCCCACTCTCCCTACAGAGACATGATAAACATGAAACAAAAATCTAGAAATTAAGCAAAAATAGTACAATAATTGAAAGTAAGAGGGCAAAACAGTATTAGTTTTTCTTGTATTCTTTAGTATCTTGTAATAGTGACCATTAAATCTGATTTGCTTGACAAATTCTGCGGAATATAAGGTATTAGAGTTCTTTGTAGGGTATGACTGTCAAGAAGGTATTGTGTGAGGGTACGTGGAGAATGGGGATTAGACAAGGACAAGTCTGAAATTCTAGCCAAGAAATTTATACGTAAGTCATAAAGAGGTAGTTATTCAAGGTTCCTGAATAGCAGAATGACAACAAATGAGAAAGGATCATGTGAATGCTTGCTGCATGGTAACATTTTGGGAGTTTTGGTTTAATGAAACTTTTATTACAGTAAATCTCCAAGGTAACACTTTAAAATATTTCTTTACAAGTTAAAAATGATACTGTTCTATGAAGAAAAATTACCTATATTTAAAATAAGTAGATTAAAATCAACTTGGTATCTAAAACATTAAGGTCAAATTACTCTAAGATAAAGTATATTATTAACAGACATCAGATAGATTATGAAATTATATTTGGTGCATTACATTTTACTTAGTATTTTATTAAATCAAGTTCCAATACAGCTGCATATATTACTTTCTGCCTGTTACAATGCTCTAGAGACCACTATCAGGTTGGGATGGTTGTGAGGACTTGTCATTCATGTCATCCATTAATACTGTGAAACGTGAGAATATATGCAATACTTAAAATAGAAACCAGCATTCATATCTAAATATGAGACAGCTTGGCATCGCAAAGTGTAAATGAAATACGTACTGGATGCAAATACTTATCTTTCAACATTAATACGAATATGCATTTGATAGATTTTCATAATTGAGAAATTTAGTGTAAAGGCAAAAGGGAAAGGACCAATTGCGAACTCTAAGCCGTGGATTCGAAGAGGTGACTGCTGGCTCCAAAGCAACTTTCTGTTGCTGGGATTTCAGAGTCTTTAGAAACTCATGGCCAGATCAGTCTCATCACCTTACCAGGACCTTTCCCAAGACTGCTCTCCTACAAGCCTCTGCCTGCCAGCATGCCTGAAAATGTCAGAGTGTGATCTGGCTGCTTCCCGGCGCTCTCAGAATCACCCTGGTATTTGGGGAGGTGAGCTTGCCAGGATGCACCCGGGCAGTATACTGGTCTGGATTTCCTTCTCTCTCTAGAAAGGAGTACACAAGAGAGAGAAATACAGAACTAGAAGCCATGTTGGCATCTGCAGAGAAATCACTTTGGTAATGAAAATTAAAGTAAGATACGGTATCTTAACGCTCTAAAGAAGAGTTAACATTAAAGTTTAAAATGAGTTGCCCTATTTTTCTCCAAAAAGTTGAAAGGCTGCATTTAACTTGGATCAAAGCCACAAAAATATAGACAGGTCATTTTTCTTTTTTTCTTTTTTTCTTTATTTCTCGGAGAGAGAGAGAGAGAAAGCGCGAGCAGGGGAGGGTCAGAGAGAGAGGGAGTCACAGACTGAAACAGGCTCCAGGCTCTGAGCTGGCAGTCAGCACAGAGCCCGACGCGGGGCCGAACCCACGAACCGCGAGATCATGACCTAAGCGAAAGTCGGACGCTTAACCGACTAAGCCACCCAGGCGCCCCAGACAGGTCATTTTTCCAAAAGGAAATTTATTTGTACCACTACAGCAGAAATTGGGAGATTATGTTTGTGCAAACCATACTTTCATGATACAGATCCTCATACCATATTCCTTTTAATAACAAGCTAATTGCTGCAACATTATTCCTGCAATTTCAAAAGCCAGCCAACATGGATACCTCTGCTACTCTGTTTTGGCCTTCATAGCCGCTTCCTCTCTCAGGCGAGCTTTCTTTTCTAAGTTCAGACTTGTTAAAGACTCGTTTCTTCTGGCAGCCTAAAGTGAAACAGATTTGAACAAGTGATTATTTATGTGGGTTTGGGGAGGGTGTCATTACCCTGCACTCATGTCAATAGATAACTACAGCAGGGCCTGCCCACAACCGTCTACTGTGTGCACACAGGGCACGGACACCCCCTCCCTGTGCCTTCTGCTTCCTCTAAGGCTTCACAGTACAGTAGCCCGTCCTGTCGAGTGTGAGAGAAATGCTGCACCTCTACCTTCTCTTTCTGGCGGGTTTCTTTAAACCTAGCTTCTTCCCTTATAATTAACACCCTTATCTTTTCCCTTTTTTTCTCTCTTTAGTATTGAATACCTTTTTTGTTTACATTTCTATCCTTTCCTTTCATTTTTCTTTGTTGCAACTGTTTCTCCTATTCTAGCTCATTTGTATACTTTCATACGCTTCTAACTCCTTACTCCTCTTTTACCAAAAATACTCAGCTTTGGAGATCCCAGACTTTACTAAATACTGTGACTGATGCCTCTCACCAGTATCGATCCAACTACTCCAACCTGTGGAAGCAAAGAGCAGTGGAGGAGAGGCAACCATCCTCTTCCCTTGTTTCCTTCCATGTGACCTATTACATGCCTGTGAAGCTTACATAAGCAGACTAGTTTCAAAAGTTTTATACCAAATAAGTGGAACTAGCACCCATTACATAGGGTGGAATTTTCTTCTGTGTAATCTCATGTGTAAAGAATTAGGTATGGGAAGGGGTAGGAGAATGGGAATGGTATGTTGATGGTAAGGACAGAACATAGAGTGGCTAACTTCTCTCTTCTAAATAGCATTAAGTCTAAAAGTTCTCCATTCCAGTAGCATTTACCAACTTCTAAGAATTAGATGGTTCCATGTGAAACAAATGAAATGGCTTTCTGGTACATAAAGGAGAGAAAAGAAACTCTCTTCAAGTACATGGCCTATATCCCAGGATGAGGCTAGAGGAAATCGCAGGGGGTAACTTGTTTCTAGAGTATTTAGACTCAGTATAATCAAGTATACAAAACCAATGCAGACTTCTAGGAATTCTAGAAACCCCTACATATCCTGTCCACAAGCTTCTGCAGGTTTTTTTTTTTTTTTTAATGTTTTATTTATTTTTGAGAGAGAGATAGAGACAGCATGAACAGGGGAGGGGCAGAGAGAGAGGGAGACACAGAATCCGAAGACAGGCTCCAGGCTCTGAGCTGTCAGCACAGAGCCTGACACGGGGCTCAAACCCTCTAACCATGAGATCATGACCTGAGTTGAAGTCGGACACTTAACCGACTGAGCCACCCAGGTGCCCCACCAGGTTTCAGTCTGAGAACTAAATATGAGAAGTCAAAGAGGAAGTCAGAAGAAAAACTGAGGTGGGGCAGGAACAGAACTGTCCTGGGAAGAACTTCACCTAGTCCTGCATACTTGTCCCTCATGCTCCCATAAGGTCAGCCTAAATGGTCAGTATTTTCCATTCCAAGAGTCTGAAGAGAGCCAGATGTTCATTTCCTTTTACTCTGTACTCACTAGGGAGAAGGAAGTCAGTTATCACTGGGTTGGCAGAAGAACCTTTTTAATATCTTATAATAGACATAAGATATTTCTTTCCACATGAAAGCTGTGATATATAAAATTAGACATGGTATCAAAATTAGACATTGTCCAGTGCTGCTGCATTTAAAAAAACATATTTTAATCACAAGATAGTATTATATGAGTTTAGGAGCTTGAAAAGTTGGCTCTACATTTTTATCCTGCCATTTATTAGCTGTGTGACTTTGGGAAAGTGATTTAATAGCTCTGAACTTCAGGTTGCTTTTTTATAAAGTATGGATACTAAGAGAACCACTGCTTAGGTTCTTAGGGGATTGTGGTGATTCAGTGAGTTTAACAGGACCTGTGACATAATGAGCACTCAGTAAGTGGGAGTAATTTTACTATCAACTTCAATCAGACCAGGCTAGATTCAAACTGTGGCTCTGACATTCAGGAGATGTGTGACCTTGGGCGAGTGAGCAAAGCTTTCTAAGCTATGTTTCCTCATCTATAAATGAGGTGCTAATAATAGTGTCGATTCCAACATGCTGTTGTGAGGTTCAAATGAAAGAACAGCCAAGTGCTTAAAAGACAGCGAGTATTCCACTAATGATAGCTATTGATGATGATGTGTGTTAAAACAGAGATTTCTGGACTTGAATGCTTATGTACCTGTTCGGGAGCTATGGTCCTTACAGGTAAGGACTATGTGGCTGAGCTTCAAGTAAACAATAGTGACGAGGATCCTCACCAGGGTTAAGGCAGTTAAAGTGTGGATAAATAAGCCCATGTACCTGGAGTGCTTTATAGACATGCAGGTGTCATCATTAAATACACCAGTGTCATTTTTCTTGTTTCACAATTCTTTATGGTATCTGTGATAACCGAACACTTTTTTTTTTGTTTACTTTATGCAAAACGAATTCAGTCCCTCACTTTGCCAAAGTTAGGATTTGCTATTTATCCCCAGACAGGATATGCCATGTTTGTTCCTACTGTGTCTTATTTTGTTTCTTATCATTTCTTGGGTAGAACGTAATCAACTCTTCTCAGAGACTAAATACGAGGGTCAACCCCTGATTTCCTTTAGATCCTTTACAGAAAACAGAGACAGAGAGGAAGTCCACTCTCACCTTCTTTCCCTCAATAACCATCAAGATGCATCCACCCACTGTCAAGGCAATCATTACATAGCTGATCTTCACCCGGATCTTGTTCTTTGCAGCATCAAGCATCTCAAACCTAGTAACATAATGAGATCATGAGAGAAAGTTAACATTTCTCTTTCTGAAGTTGCCATTAAGAAATAAAGCTCTGTGTGTGACAAGTCAGAAGTGGAGTGGTACCCATAAATATAAAAAAGATGTGAGACCTGGAAATCTTCTAGGATTTGGGGGAGAATGAGGAGTTTTCGCAACTCACGCTAAATTTACATATAAAATCCAACAAGATAGCACAAACTTAAAAGAAAGAAAAAGAGTTAAAGAAAGTGTGAAGACAAAGTGGATCCAAGAACAAAGGGGGGGTGGGGAAGAGCAAGATGTATTAATTTATGCTTGCTATGCTGGTCCCCATTTTGGCTTTCAAGTTTCACATTAGCAGCCAATGCTAACAGTGAAACCAGAAGCTATTTCTCCCTGGGGTTCTTAAGAAGATGTTATATGATATAACGATTGTCTGAACAACATCCTCACAACAGATACTGCAATGAGCTTCATGAGTTTCATATGTTTCAACATGAATCACAATTCAGACAGAAAACAAATGTGGGAGAGAGTTAAACAATGTACTTTTCATACCCAGGTTTTTTGCTTTCTTCCTTGAACCAGGGATCGATTTAATAATCTAAAGCTAATACTTAGATTTAGAACCAGGAATAGATTCCAGAGACTATCTGAAACAGCAGAAAGGTCCTTTAAGTAATGCTTACTTAATGTTTACCTTTTAACTAATGTTTTGCTAAAACTGCATGGCAGTGAACTTGAGACTATGCTCTTTGGCAAGTACGTCTTTGAAGCTGTCCACTGAATACAGATCCATGTGCCTTAACAGAACATTGAGGGTTGGATTATCAATCTTGTGTGAAAACTAGGAGGCCTAATAAGGAAGAGTCTAAAGAGAAGACCACTCCACCTTTGTGATTCTCTATGTAGGCAGTGAGTTGTAGTACTACTACATGAATCTAGTAGATCCTCAGGGCAGGGCATGAAGAGTCCAAACGGGCCCCAGAGAGAGCAATGGCCTCTTCAGTAGGGATGTAAATAGGAAGTGATTAGCTCTAGATGATGGGATGGGAGTGCTAACTTCCTTCCTTCCTCTTTTTTCCCCCCAGATTTTTAATACACATTACTTTAGAAATCAGGAGGAAAAAAAACACTTTAAAAATGCTTAGAAGGAGGCACAGGGTCCAGGCATGGCAGGTGGTAGAACCCCTAAAGCATATACACTGTGATGTAAGAGCTGGGACCCAGTGAGGTATTGTGAAGGGAGTTCTCGGGGCACTGAAGCTGCGCCTGCAGGGCAGTGGGAGGAACCAGGGACAATGGCTAAGGACAGTGAATTGCTCTGTTGAGAGCCCACCAACAAGAAATTAACTAACCATGCTGACATTATTTTATGTGAACTGGCACATCCAACTAAAGTGCTGCGATACTCGTGAAAAGAAATATATTTTACGTTTCATTACAAGAATTTTCCTTTCAAAATATTTTACATTAAAAAAGTAAAATGCACTTAAATAAGGCCATGAGGTTGCCCTCCATTCCACAGAAGCAATCAGAATAGGCAGGCTAAACAGTGCCTGTTCAGAGCTACCAGCACAAGGATGAACCCCTGCCCAGGCCCAGAGAAGAGCATTCTGTGGTGACTCACTGGGTAGGGATCCTGGAACCACCCGCAAGGCAGACTGAAGAAGGTGCTCCATAGCAAAGTCTATACAGCACCTATGAGGGTCATGGGTATACACCAGCTTGCTTGCTGCTGGAATATTCAGGAAGAAGTTAAGATACAGGCAGGAACTTAATATCATTGTTATTTCCAACTTGCTCTTGTTTCCCAGGAGAGGACACTGTCACCTTAGCTAAGAAGGACCAGGGCTTTCCAGCTGAAATAATTTTAGTGAAAATAATGTGCTCTTTAATTTGACGGACAGAAGTAGAACGGCTCTGTTAAAGCCATTGTAAACACAAAGCAAGTAATACTTCTCTTCCTGGGAAAAGATACCCTGAATGAACTCAGATCTTTTAAAATCATGCCTTGGAACCAGAAACCAGAAGGTCCAGGAATTGTTTCATGCTAGAAGGGAACATCTAAGAGCTTTTTTCCCAACTCCCTATCGGTGAAGATGATGATGCCCCACAGTGGACATGGCATCTGCTTCTCACAATCTCTTGGCGAATATGCAAACCAATCCATGTCTTTAACATCAGGAGGCTGGGGCAGTGCTTCTCAACGAGGGTTTGTTTTGTTTTGTTTTTTTGTCCCCCCAGGGGACATTTGGCAACGTCTGGAGACATTTCATTGTTATAACTAAGGGCCACTGGCGTTCTTTTTTTTTTTTTTTATGTTTTATTTATTTCTGAGAAAGAGAGAGAGACAGCGTGAGCAGGGGAGGGTCAGAGAGAGAGGGAGACACAGAATCTGAAGCAGGCTCCAGGCTCTGAGCTGGCAGTCAGCACAGGGACTGATGCTGGGCTCGAACGCATGAACCGTGAGATCATGACCTGAGCTAAAGTCGGACGCTCAACCAACTGAGCCACCCAGGCACCCCAGTGCCACTGGTGTTTGGAGGATGAAAAGAGCAAGCAAGGAGGCTGCTAAACATCTTATCATGTATACAACAGCCTCCGAAAACAAAGGATTATCTCGACCAAAATGTCAATAGCACTGGGACTGAGAAACCATGAGTCAGAGGAATCTACACTCATCTACAGACTCTGAAAAAGTCCCAAGATCTCAGCCACAGCTGAGTTTAAGGAAATTGGTGATAGGAAGCATGCTTTCCTGGATCCCAGAAAGAGAATATGTTGCTCTTAAATACTTTTTATGCCTTTGGTTGAACACTTGAGTGGAGTTTATAGAATATAATTATTGTCAATGGCGCCTAACTGATATACCTAGATTAAAAAAAGCTAAAAACAGTGGACATCACTGCTTAGTGACAATTCTGTAGCTAGGAGAGGAAATCAATCAGTTGACTTTGGAGTACCTGACAGCTCTCCACTAGGTGTGACATACTGTATCCATGATAAGGCACAGATTTTCCAGCACTGTTTTTATTGCAGGTACTTGCCAAAGAGGAAACCTTTACAGAAGTGAAAACCGTTCTAGAATTAGGTTGAAAGGTTTTAAATCAGGACTCAAAGGAACTGTTTTTCCTCGGAAATAGATCAGTGAGAAATAAAAGCTGCTTACAACCCCTAAGTTCGGCACTCACGAGACAGTCTCTGGGATTTCATCTTCCTTTTTGAAGCGACCTGACCATACCAGGATCTTCCTCTCCCATTGTGTAGGTTTGTGTAATGGCACTCTGTGGCTGTAAGTGTCTATGAGAAAAACAAGACAAGATATCTTACTTGAGGTTATGATTCTCAAATTTAGCAATTAAAAAGTGCTATTTGTGCTTTTTAGTTATCCACTAAACAGAACATTGAGAAACCTCAAGCAAATTAGAGCTTTGTTTGAATGGAATTTCTTAGGATGCCTCAAATGAGATTCAAAATTCTGTGAAGACTGAGGTAAAATAAAAGCATTATTTGCTAGCCATTGAAAGTTTAAAGAACACCATAAGCAAGGATATAAAGATAAAGAAGAACTAAGAAGGGAACAATGAGAAGCTTATTTGACTTCAGTAGAAAAAGAAAAAAGTTTTAAGGTAAAATAAGATTATCAAAGACCCTGAGTGTCAGGCTAAGCTTTTTAAACCCGATTTGGGAACTGCTGTATACTTCGAAGCAAGGAAGAAGTTAACGTTTTAGAAGATTCCATAATAGATGGAAGAGAGAAAGGAAGGATAGGATAGAGTAGGCAACAAGTCCAAACAGGAGCTTGTAATACAAGAGTGTGGCGATATGGTCTGAAGTGGAGTTGTAATGTTAGAAAAGAGACAAAACAGTCAATCTGAAGATGACTGAAAGAATCTGGAGACTGATTAAGACAAGGAAGGAATTAAAGAACCTCATATGTGAATGAGCAAGACAACAATAGTACTGTTAAACAAAATCAGGAGACCGAAAAGAATCAATTAGGAAAGGAAAAAGCATGAATACTATTTTGTACCTATCTACTGGGTCTAACTTTACACCTTCTGAATAGGCTTCATTAATTAAGTCAAAAGCAGAGATAATCATCGGTGCAAAGGGACAGCCAGTGAAGGTGATTAAGACCCAAGATAGTGTCTAGGAGAAAGAGGCAGCGGAGGAAAATGAAGTGGCCAGAGAGGCAGATGAACAAGAAAGGCACACAACCACAACCTGTAAGAGAAAGTCTTTCAAAAGAAAGGAGAAGTTTTTGAAAATAAGGAGCAGAAAAAATTAGGGAATCACAAAAGTTAGGAAATCACAAAATGTTAGGGTTAGAAAGGAACTTCGGAGATACTCTCATTCAACCTCCATGTACCACCTACATCTCTCACAGACGGAGCGTCTCCTTGACTGTTACCTACACCGTCATACTCCTTCCCATTGCCACATCTTTGTGCTGTGCCTTTCACTTAACCAGAAGGCAACAGCAAAAGGAAATGGAAAGTCACTAGGAAAAAAATCCATAAAGAACCAAAGGTGAGAAAAGAGGTTTAGAAGTATAGAAATGGCATTGTTTTGCTTTCTTTCCATTGTTAAGTACATTAAAGATCATCTGGAAAGTATGGATGGAAAAGAAGAAGACAAAAACTATCTCTAATTCTCCTGTTGTAGCACAATCACTTTATTTGTATTTTGGCAGTGTTTCCTAAGTCTTATCCCTGAACGTATGTGTGTATGTGTCATTTATATGTATATCGTGATATGCTTACACACGATATAAAATTTTGTATCCTGTTTGTTCACTGACATCATGACAAACATTTTCCATGCCAGTACATGGTATTCAAAAATACCATTTCCAGCAACTGTACAATCTCATCAAATAGATCTAACATACATAATTAATCATTCCTGGATTATGTGACATTTAGATTTAGTTCTCATTTTTCTATTATACATAAAAATGGAAACATCTTTACCCTCGAGTTTTTTCCACATTTGGGGTTATTCCTGAGGATAGATACCCAGAAGTGAAATACCAGGTTGAAGGGTATAAACGTTTTTAAGCTCCTGATAAAAATATTCTCTGAAGATAGTTCTTTTTCATTCACCAAGCCTTGCCTGACCTGAGTGTATACCCATGAAGAAAGAACAAGCAAATAGCTTGTGGGACCCTACAGTTTCTATTTTATGCTCCTTGTTTCCACACTGGTAACAGTGACAAGGGTTTGAGTTAAGAATAGGACTAATGATGGCTGAAATTAATGCCCAAGCCAGAGGCTAGCCCTAGATACATTGTACCCCAAACATCATTTCGTAATGTGGTTCATCTTTGGGGTTCCTTACAAGATAACTTCTAGATCACTATTTACTTTGGTGCATCCATTCTCCAACAAAAAGCTCCAATCTAATCCTGGAAATAAGAGATAAAAATGACAAGTGAGGAAAAGGAAGAAAGCAATGCTACCTGTGAGCCAATAAAAGTACAATCTGGGAGGCCTCAACTATAGGATAGGGTATGACAAGCATGTGATGACTTGTCTTTTAGGTTCTTTTGATTCCAAGTTGTTCCATCTTCAGAAGCTTCCATAACTGGAAAAATGAATAAATACTTACAGGGTGGAGCTTTTGGACTTTCTTGTGGTTTGGTACAAAATCCATTTATTCTTTTCAAATCAGAGTTTCTGGTAATTCTTAGAGATGAGGAAGCATCTCTTTCATATAACCTAAAACAGCTTCCTAGAAAAGATAAGAAAATGTTTCAGAGAAAGAAAATCTAATATTGTCTCAAAATGAGAAATGCCTACAAAGAATATATTTCATTTATAAAAATTAACTCACTTAAAAACTGAATATACTACTCTGTAAGATACATATATTTTTTAAAAAAATTTATAATGTTTATTTCTGAGAGAGAGAGGGAGAGACAGAGTGTGAGTGGGGGAGGGGCAGAGAGAGAGAGGGAGGCACAGAATCCAAAGCAGGCTCCAGGCTCTGAGCTGTCAGCACAGAGCCTGACGCGCGGCTTGAACTCACAAACCGCGAAATCATGACCTGAGCCGGAATCGGATGCTTAACTGACTGAGCCACCCAGGCTGCCCCCAGTTAGATACATACATTTAAAGTGTGATACTTGGTGCTGTTTTAAAATATACATGTTTTGCTCATTAGGAAATTAGCAATTTGTAATATAAACATTTTATCAGCTGTAAGTTTTATAAAAGTACGTCTCACATGTATCTTGTCATAACAATGCTCCTAGTGGAAATACTACACAGTATAGCACTGAGCTGTTTAGATAAAGATTAGAACCTCCCACAAGTGATAAACCAAGATGCCAAGTTGCCAATACTACTCTGGTAAACTCTGGGTAGGGGAGCTGCAATGGCCAGCAAGGGGCTTTAGAAAGCCTTGTTTTGCCCAAACTGTAATTCTCCAACTGGAAATCAACTTCAGGTATAGTCATTAATTCTGTAAAATTTTAAACTATATATTAAAAATTGTATTAAGCTATATTACATATATATATAGTTAATTTTAAACATCTAAATTCTTTTTTTTTTTTTTTAAATATTTTTTATTTATTTCTAGGAGAGAGAGAGAGAGAGACAGCGTGAGCAGGGGAGGGTCAGAGAGAGAGGGGGAGTCACAGACTGAAACAGGCTCCAGGCTCTGAGCTGGCAGTCAGCACAGAGCCCGACGCGGGGCTCGAACCCAAGAACCGCGAGATCATGACCCAAGCGAAAGTCGGACGCTTAACCGACTACGCCACCCAGGCGCCCCTAAACATCTAAATTCTAAGCACACATAGAGATCAGTACTATAAATCCCCACGTACTCACCACCCAGTGTCAACAATTACCAACACATGGCCAATACAGTTTCATCTGAACACCCTCCCTACTCCCTACTGAATTATTTTAAAGCAAATCCTAAACATCCTATTAGTTCATCTATGAATACTTCCATATGCACCTCACAACGGCAACTTTTCAAAATCATTATCCATAATACCATTAGCTTAACTAAAAAACATTTCCTTGATATTAGCATATTATGATCAAGTATTATATTTCCTCAATGGGCTCACCATTTTTTAATAGATAGTTTATTCTAAATAGGTGCACATTGAATATGGCTGTTGTGTCCTATGTAGGTCTCCCCTTTCCTTATCATTTGTCGAAGAAACTACATCATTAACTCTGTAGAATTTCCCTCATTTCAGATCTTGCTGATTGTATCCCCATGGTGTTGTTTAACATATTCTTCTAATTCTTTTTTGTTTTTCTTGTAAACAGATTTTTGAGGCTTCATCAGATTTAGAATTTTTAGGAAGAATATGCCATAGGTGGTACTATGTATGTTCTTCCCACTTTATCATATCAAGAGGCATACATCAATTTTATTTTGTAAGATTAACCAGTAGATGCTATCAGTCTGACTCATCTCTTATAAAGTTCTCCATCAACCTTTCATTTAATGTTTTTAGCCGACATTGATGATTGTTACCTAGATCTACTGTTTGATTATAGAATGTAAAATGGTAGTATTCTACACGAACTATTGGATTATCCTAAGGTAAAAGTCCACAGGAAATGTGGAATAAATGCTTAATTCTTTCCATTTGCCAGTTTCAAACTGATGAATTGTTTTCCTTTCAGCCTTGACAGGTGACCTTTTGCTTAAAAATAACACAAGGAACTCTTGCATTTTAACATATTATGTACTCCAGCCCATTTCAGTCATTTTTCTTTTTGATGCTCAGATATTCCCATTTTTAGTCACTAGGGACCCTTCCAAGTTGGCTCCTGAGTACTTTCAACATGTGCTCAGTGATCACTGATAGCTTCCCCACTCTCCGACATGATGTTCCAGACTTGTTTTGAATGCTTCCTGTCCCTGATTTAGAATCAGACATTCCTTCAGGGTGTTCTGGTTCCTTTAAAGAGGAAGCATTACTGGGTTTGTCATTGTTTCCGTGCCTTCTCAGTTAACAAAACTAGGAAATACATTCATTCCTAAAACAAATGTATGATTAAGAATTTAGTTTTGGTTAGCCATTTTCACCTTTAGCCTTAGCATGAAAATTTTTAAATCAATCATAATTAATCAGCATTCAAAGCAGAGAAAGCCAAAAATAGTTTTGATGGGTGAGAGAAAGGGAGTGATTCTGAATATGAGGGTCATCATACAAGAAAGACCCCTAGAGTCCTAGAACATGGAAAAAGGAGAGCACTATGAAGTACAATGGAACAAAAAAGAAAGCTGGAAAGACACCAGTGATAAATTTATTAGTGTCCTGGCACGTGATGCTCAGGGTTACAAAGAAAGTAATGCCCAAAACTGTCTTTAATGTAACCAGAATGTTCCCTCACAGCTTTGTAGATAAAAGCTCACAGGAAAATTCAAGTAGTTTTTAAAATCTATTTGTTAGGGGGTGCCTGGGTGGCTCAGTCAGTAAAGCGTCCAACTTCGGCTCAGGTCATGATCTCATGGTTTGTGGGTTCGAGCCCCACATCAGGTTCTGTGCTGACAGCCAGCTCAGAGCCTGGAGCCTGTTTCAGATTCTGTATCTCCCTCTCTCTCTGATCCTCCCCTGTTCATGCTGTCTCTTTCTCTCTCTCTCAGAAATAAAAAAAAAAACATTTTAAAAAATTAAAAAAAAATCTATTTGTTTGTTGACAAACAGTCTGTACCTCTGCAGTTCCAAACTCCTACTTGGATGTCTTTGTAGCTTCAGAGTTGGAGTTATTAAGGTGAGGCAAGAGAGGGAACAGGAATAAAATATACAGGTGGACTTCCCAAAGCTGTTGAGAAACATGATTTCTTTACTTTTTTTCTCTTGCTGTTAAAAACTTTAAAAAGTTTATTTATTATTATTTTAATAATCTTTAAATTTTTCTTAATGTTTATTTTTGAGAGAGAGCGCACAAAAATTGAGGAGAGGCAGAGAGAGAGACACACACACAGAATCCAAAGCAGGTTCCAGGCTCTGAACTGTCAGCACAGAGCCCGACACGTGGCTTGAATCCACAATCTACAAGATCATGACCTGAGCCAAAGTTGGATACTTAACTGACTGAGCCATCCAGGCACCCCTATTTATTTATTTTTGAGAAAGAGAGAAAGAGAAAGCAAACTAGGGAAAGGCAGAGAGAGATTGAGAGAGAGAGAGAGAGAGAGAGAGAGAGAGAGAGAGAGAGAATCTCAAGCAGATTACACACTGTCAGCGCAGAGCCTGACACGGGGCTCAGACTCACAAACCATGAGTTCATGACCTGACCTGAGATCAAGAAATGGTTAAGCATCCAACTCTTGGTGCGGCTCAAGTCATAATCTCACGATTTGTGATAATGAGCCCTGGTTTGTGACATTGAGCCCTGTGTCGTCAGGCTTCTCACTTACAGCATGAAGCCTGCTTGAGATTCTCTCCCTCTCAAAATAAACAAACATTAAAAATAATAAATGTAAGAATTTAAAAGATATTACTATAGACTTAAATGGGCATATGCTTATATTTGTGTAAAGATTTTTAAAATAACACTTGACATATAACACCATTATAAAATTAATCCTTTTAAAGTGTACAGTATCATGGTTTTTAGCTTATTCACAAAGTTGTGTACTGATCACTACCACCTAATTGCAGAAGATTTTCATCATCCTAAAAGAAACACCAGATCCATTAAGTCACTTTCTGTTTCTTCCTCCCTCCAACCCTAGGAAACCACTAATCAACTTTCTGTCTCTATGGATTTGCATATTCTGGAAATATGGAATATGTTGGATGTTTTATATAAATAGAATCATATACTATGTGGCCTTTTATGACTGGCTTCTTTCACTCAGCATGTTTTCAAGGTTCATCCATGTTGTAGTATTTATCAGTACCTTATTTTTTATGAAGCAGGCTCCAGGCTCTGAGCTAGCTGTCAGCATAGAGCCTGATGTGGGGCTGGAACCCATCAACCGCGAGATCATGACCTGAGCCGAAGTCGGATGCTTATTAACTGACTGAGCCACCCAGGCACCCTTATCTTATTGTGATTTTGATTTGTATTTCTCTACTGAGTAATGACAATGAGAATCTCTTTACTTGGTTGTTGACTAGTTGTATATGTTCTTGGGGAAATGTTTATTCAGCTCCTTTGCTCATTTCTTAACTGGGTTGGAGTTTTATAATTGAGTTGTACTGTCTAATGTAGGACTTGCAAATATTTTCCTCCATTTTGTCTTTTCACCACCTTGATATCCTTTAAATACAGAAGTTTAAAATTTTGATGAAGTCCCGTTTATCCTTTTTTTCTTTTGTTGCTTGAGCTTTTGGTGTCATATACAAGGTCACAAAAGCTTATTCCTATGCTATAGTCTAAGAATGTTATCGTTTTAAGTTTTAACATTTAGGTCTGATGCATTTGGAGTTAATATAGGTATACTGTGTGGAAGGGATCCAACTCCATTCTTTTGCAGGTGGATGTCCAATTTTTCCAGCATCATTGGTTGGAAAAAAGCATTCTTTCCCTTATTGAACTTTTTTTTGCACAATATAAAAAAATTTGAGCATAAATGTGAGGGTTTATTAGTAGACTCTCAATTCAATTATACTAATCTATATTTCCTTGTATTCTATGTTCTGTGTTAGCTTAGTGGCCACTTAATCACTGGCCAGACATCCTTCAGTGCCTTACACCAAGAATTCTGCCAGCCTTTGCCAAAAGGCTCTGTGTGCCTTTTGCAGC